CGTGGGCGAGTCCAGCAGTGTCAGCAGTAGCAAAGACCAAGTCGTCAACGTACACGAGGATGTAGAACGGCGGCAAAGAAGTGTCGGTGCGTAGAAATAGCGACGTGTCGGCAGTAGAGGGAGCAAACCCAAGAGCCGCAAGTGTAGTCCTCAGTGTGTCGTGCCACTCATGGGGCGCCTGGCGGAGACCGTAGAGTGGCCACCGGAGGCTCCACTGGGTACCAGGAGGAAACGACCCAGTAAAGCCAGGTGGGCGGCCCAGCCAGATCTACTCGTGCAGGCTGCCCTGCATGAAAGTTGTGCTGAAGTCAAGAGAGTGAAGCTCGTAGTCGCGCTGAGCGGCTATGTGCAGCAGTACCCGAAGAGTGGTCATCTTCAGGGTGGGAGAGAAGGTCTGAAAGTAGTCAACTCCCTGCCGCTGGCTGAAGCCTTGAGCCACGTAACGTGCCTTGAAGACAGGTGGAGAACCCGGCGGCCGCTTCACCTTGAAAATCCACATGCCACTGACGATGTTCGCCCCAAGTGGGGGAACCTCGTCGACGTAGGTGCCTGTGGACTTCCAGGAAGCCATCTCTACGTCCATGGCTGACTGCCACTGTGAAGAGTAGGGACCCTCGATCACCTCAGCGTACGATCGAGGAGTCGGGATGGCTGGTGCATCCGGGTCTCCCTCAGGGGCAATCAGCTTGGATAGAAGATGAGGCAAAGCAGCAGCAAAACACTGGAACTCCTCCTGCTTGTCCTCAAGGACATGCGTGCTAAGAGCACACTCACCCCCGACGGACGGAGGATAGACAGACTCAGACTCAGCAACAAGACTAGCAGCATAGTCTAGACGACATCGAGCAGCAAAGTCGACAAGCTAAGCAACTAAGGCAGACGCAGTAGTGGACTCAAAGGAAGGGTCAGTGACAATAGTAGCCAGGAGACGCGTCATAGTAGGACTAGCAGCACGAAGAGAGTCAGACTCCGGGAAGAGAGGACTCTAGAGGAGACGGCAACGGGACACGCAGAGGAGCAGTGGAAGGACGCAGTGCCATCTGGTGTGTGCCTGGGACCGCAGGAGGACGCGGACGCGGAACACGACTACTAATGCAAGCAGCACGAACAGGCGACGTAGGATGAGACCCACGTGCAAGACCGGTGTAGGGAGAGGGAGCAGGCAGTGGGGAGGCGGGCTGTAACAGCGACTTAGACTGGACAGGTGGCAGACACTCTAAGGAAGGAGCAGGACCAGTAGAAGGCGGGAGACCAAGAACGTGCTCAAGGAGCGGAACGAAGTACGGCCGTGGCCGCGCAGCGCCTCCAGAGCCAGCAGAGACAGCACCACCACCCCCAGCGGCAGTACCAGCACCAATAGTACCCTCAGCTACAGCTCCGCCAACTCTAGCACCCTCAAAAGCACCAACGACAGCAGCACCTTAAGCGCCCAACACCCTCAGCAGGTCCAGCTCCAGCCGGACAACCAGAAGACTCGACAGCCACAGCTCCAGCACCTCCAGCAGCACCTGCTCCAGAAGCACAACTAGCAGGTCCAGCACCACCAGCAGCTCTAGCACAAGGAGCACTCCCAGGCCCAGCAGCTCTCGTACCTCCAGTACGAGCACCTCCGGAACCCGTGGCACCAACATCCTCAGTAGCAGCAAAACCGCGAGCGCCAGCAGCACCTCTAGCTTGAGCAGCACGACTCCAGCGCCGAACAAACCACTCGCGCAGCTCCTGAGGAGAGGGGAGCTCCCGCCGGGACGAAGCACCCGAGATACCCCCAGACCCAGCACCGCCAGACTCCACACCAGTAGGCCCAGCACCCTTAGGCTCCACACCCCCAGGCTCAGCACTCCAGACACAGCACCCCAAGGCTCACCACCTCCAGACGTAGCACCCCCAGGCTCAGCACCCCCAGACTCATCACCCCTAGGCTCAGCACCCCCAGGCCCCGCACCCGCAGGCTCAGCACCCCGAGTAGCACCGGAGTGAATAGCTACCTCGACATGCTTGAGTGCGTCTACCTGACACACACCTGAGGGAGCTGGACCCTGAGGGGGAAGGGGGTTTACCGGGGGGGGGAACTGGCGCGAGGAAGAGCAGCCGCGGGGGGAGGGGCGCAGTGCGGTAGGGGACGAGACGGTAGTAAGGAACCAACTCGTCAAACGTGACGTCCTGGGAGGATAGAACACGGCGCGAGGTGGGGTGGTAAAACTGCCAACTAGGCGCATGAGGGGGGAAGCCAAGGAAGATGTATGGAGCACCACGGGGGGACAGCTTGTCCGCAGACAAGTCGTGGACAAAAGCCCGAGATCCCTAGACATGAAACGCAGACACATCGCCAACCTTCCCCATCCACCACAGACTAGGGGAGGTCTCCGGCAAGGAGACTCAGGGCTGAAGGTTGATCTGATGCGCCGCGTACTGAACCGCGAACGGCCACAGAAAATGGGGAGCAGCCGCATGAATTATGGATGTACGAGCGACGTCCATGACCATGCCAATGCGGCGCTCAGCAATCCTATTTTGGGGTGGAGAGGCCGGAAGCGTGAAGGTCTGGCGGATGCCCTGTGCATGACAGAACGCTCCTAGAAGGCCAGGGGAAAACTCTCCGCCTCTGTCCGAGTGCAGACGCAGAACAGGAAAGTCCGAGCCAAAACTCTCTCTGAGGTGGAGACGAGCTGCGCAAATCCAGTCGATCAACAACTCAGTGACGTCATCCTTGCTGCGCAAGGGGAAAACCGTCAAGTAACGCGAGTAGTCGTCAACCACCAACAGGAAGTAACGCTCGTGACCCTAGCCACACACTTGGGCTGGGCCCCACACGTCCATGTGAAGAGTCTGCAGCGGAGCCTCTATTGGAGGAAACTCGGAGGAGTGAGGAGCGGCGAGTTGCCGCCCAGGTAGGGACAGGCCTCGGAGCGAGGGGAGGGAGGGACCGGGGGAGACCAGAGACAAGGTAACGGGAAGCCATGCCTCGGAGACGAGGCAGGGAAGGGTGACACAGGCGTTGGTGCCAGAGGAGAGTCCGGTGGGACAGGAGACGACACTAGCAGGGAGCAGACTCTGGACCACACCTAGACACCGCAGAAAACACCTGACCCGACGCAGCTACCTGATTAGACTCAGTAGTAAGTGTGTATAGGCTCGACCCCGGTTGACGGGTAAACGTGGCCAAGTGTTGGCCCGTCCGAGCACACGTGCAGTGGGTCACTCGCTGACTCGTAGGAGTGAACTGGTCAACCCCCCCATCTTGTAGATCAGCACCACTCACCAAGTTCGTAGAGAATGAGGGGAGCTAGAGACCTAACAGGGTGCCAGAGGGGGCCGTCGGACACGGTAAACCAATGGAGAAGTGGGCAAGAACAGGACCCCCAGAGGGGTCCGCTAGGGAGACCGCAACCGGCCGACTAAGCGGCGTAAGCGTGGTGCGGTCTCGAAAGAAGGAGCAGGAAGCACCCGAGTCAAGAGTGAAGGTGTGTAAGGCCTGAGCCGACATGGTACCTGAGAGAGCAGACTCACCAGCACCTGGGGCAGCAGACGCACTAGCACCAAGAGCAGCAGCCTCACCATCACCTAGAGCAGCAGCCCGAATGCCCGGGTCAGGCGGAACAAACAGGTAACAGTTACCTTGATCACTAGTAGACACAACATACATGGCAGCAAGAATAGCATCATAATCCAGATCAAAGATGGCAACCCCCGACCTCTGCAGCTCTCCCCAGCGAGTGATCTCAGTGGCGTCAGGGAACTTGTGACGCCTAGCGTCCGTCAGGCGGCCGAAGTAGCGCTGGGTGGGGTGCGGGCCCCCGCACTGCTCACCCGTACGGTCGCCGGTATGCAGGATGTAGGTACAAGGACCGGTACCCCCACCCCACTGACGCGAAGCGTACCACTCACGAAGCTGCTGGGGGGGCGGGGTCTCACGAGTGCGCTGTTGCTGCTGGCGCTGATCACCACCGAAGCCGCCCCGCTGCGCAGAGCCACCCCGACTAGCTCCACCTCCTCCGCCGCCTCCTCCGCCACTACCGCCACCGCCTCCTCCTCCGCTCCCACCGCCACCGCCGTCGGGGCCTCCGCCGCCACCGCCGCCACCGAAGCCCCCACCCCTGCCACCACACCCACCACCACCCCCACTCCCTCTACCTCCTCCACCGCCACCTCCACCGCCCCCGCCAGCCCCTCCAGCGCCCTTGGCCCCCTTGCCCTTGCCGGTGCGGCGTCGCCCGCTAGGGGCAGACGTAGCGCCGACCAACTTGGTGACGACTAAGTCGACGGCAGTAGCAGAGGCAACAGAGGGCAAAAGGGGGGAGGGGGAGCACCCATCAAAGACGGGGGCACGAGGGTCACCTCAAGAAGCTCCTACAGCGACTATAATCTTCTCAGCTGCCAGGAGGCGTTCCTCGAGGAGGTCAACAGTGGGTGTGGTGGGGCAAACAGAGAGGAAGTGGTCCCTGACCGAGCAAAGGGAGTCAGGGAGCTAGGTGACTATGTAGTAGAGGGTGATGTACATGGGGGGGGGGGGGGGGGGGGGGGTTCTTGGCGCAGAATTCAGCAAGGAGCGCAGCGCGGTAGCGGGTGTCACTAGTGCGAAGGTGCGTAACGAGGTCAGCGACTGTGGGAAAGGCGGCGAGGTCAGGAAACGCGTACGGCAGCATGAGGCGGCTAAGGGCAGCAGTGGCAGGGGAAGAGTAGCATGCAACTACAGCATTGTACAAGGTCTTAGCACTCTTGTACTGACCAAAGTGCGCGCGCTCAGTGGACGGCAAGTGACTACGCACAGCAAGGCGGGTAGCAGCATCGCATGTGGCCCACTCTAAGCAAATAGTGTTGTCAGCATCGGCAGAAGGGGCAGTAGAGGCGCCAGACGTGAGATCGAATAGGGAGAGACCGTCCTTCCTATGGCACTGTAGGAAAAGATGTAGATCATCGACCCAGACCTCGAAGTCAACAGCCCGACCCTCAGCATCAAAGACTAGAACACTAGGGCTAGCCATGACAGCATTGGCAGCAGACTAGGGGCAGTAGTAGAAGGCATGGCTCGGCAGTGCTCTCACCAGGGCTGGTAGGTAGGGGGGGGCAAGCGGTGGGGCAGGGCCGAGGCGCGTCTGTAGGGACAGAGCCGCAACCGCGGCGGTAGCTCCTGCGGTCGGCGGCGACGGCTGCTGCTGCTGGTGGCCGCCGCTGGTTTCCGCGACTTCTGCTGCTGTCAGCTGCTGCTGGTGGCTGCTGGTGCTGGCGGCGGTTGCTGTTGGTGGCGGAGGAGCCAAGGACGGGCCGGGAAGTGTGGCGACGGGGCCACGAAGGGCGGCGACGGGGCCGAGAAGAGGCCGCGAGGTGCCGTGAAGGGCGGCGACGGGGCCGCTAGAGGCAGCGACGGGACCGCGAAGGGCGGCGACGGGGCTGCTAGAGGTGGCGACGGGGCCGCGAAGGGCGGCAACGGGGCCGCTAGGGGCGGCGACGGGGCCGCGAAGGGCGGCGACGGGGCCGCTAGGGGCGGCGACGGGGCCGCGAAGGGCGGCGAGGGGGCCGCGAAGGGCGGCGACGTGGCCGCTAGGGGCGGCGACGGGGCCGCGAAGGGCGGCGACGGGGCCGTGAAGGGCGGCGACGGGCCCGATAGGGGCGGCGACGGGGCCGCTAGGGGAGGCGACGGGGCCGCAAAGGGGCCGCGATTGGCCTCGAAGGGTGGCGACGGGGCCGCTAGGGGCGGCGACGGGGCCGCGAAGGTGCCGCGAGGGGCGTAGAAGGGCGGCGAGGGGGGCGCAAAGGACGGCGATGGGGCCGTATAGGGTGGCGACGGGGCCGTTAGGGGTGGCGTCGGGGCCACTAAGGGTGGCGCGAGTGGCCGTGAGAGGGGCCTCTAGGAGGGCGCGACAGGCCGCTAAGGGCAAGGGATGCGACGAGAGGGCGGCCCACGGGGCGCGCCTCGGGCAGGGGCGACTCGCGCTCCGGTCAGGAAAAAAATTTCGATTTCAGTGGTGGGCCCTGAAAAGCGTTCCCACTAGGGAACCTGCTCTGATACCATGTGAAGAAATGAGGAATGAATGAATTAGAAAGCAGGTGGATACAACCAGGAAAACCTAAAAGTGTTGTACCCCATATTATCTACCCCACTACAGCCTACACAGATTATAGCATATGAGTTTGGCAGTCCCTTGCAAAGAAGCGTGAGGACCACGCAGATGATGCCTGTGTTGACAGTGGGGGGAAGAATGATGATGATGATGAATGTGAAGATGATCAAGAGTACGATGACGATGGATTTTTGAAATGCTTGCTCCTCTTCATTATAAATGTCTGCCAAATGGCTCTTCAATACTTTGCTCTGGTCTGCTTTATTCTGTGTCTCAGCAATGAAAACCTATCCAAACAAACAACCCTTAACCATAGTGCAATGCATAGGATAAAATGAAATGTAGCACTGATATGTCAGGATAAGGTCACATGTAGCACTGACGGCACAGCATACCTTTCCTAGGGCAGTCCTGACAGTTCAGGAAAAAAATGAGGTTTCTAAAAAACTGCCCCGAGTCCTCAGGGTACCCTAAAACGAATATAAGGCCTTGATGCGCAGATAATCGGCGTTGTTCTTGTCAAGTTTTCAGACCATCATACCAAGGATTATCGAGTTTTTTTGTTGTAAATAGTAATATTTGGAAAACATGTAAGCGTATGCTGCACCCTATGAGCCACAATCACATATTTGACTTTAATATACTGCCTTTTAACGCTGTTTCCTTTTTGCCTACTTATAGCTCAATCCTCATATCTGTTCATTCGCGGCGCGTGGTTGTGATTGACATTCATGGGAAAGCATTTGTTGAAGCTCGACAATGAATAATTTCCGAACTCGACCGAACGGAATCCTCCAGCTCCACCGCATGTTGCGGGCGAAGTTCCACATTAGACCCTGCCCTTGCCCCTTGGGCCACAATTACAGTAGTTCCAGCCCGCAATGTTCCGCCGTGCCTCTTGCCAAGGCCCAGATGAGCGGTGAAGCTAGCGTGGAATCTCGACAAGGCAAGGAATAATTTTTTGAAAGGATCCAGCAGCTTCACCGCGGTTAGTAAGCGGCTGTTCAGGTTGTGGCAGAAATTCGATCCGTTCGCTAAGCCGCTGCTGAAAATCTCCGCAATTCACGGGCAATTTCTGCGCTACCAGGCCCTTCCACGTTGCCTGGCCAACATTTACAGTAGTTCCCAAAAGCAGCCTGCTTCCAATGTGTTCTGCCCTGCCTGTCGCCGCCGGCGAGGCTCGAGACGAGACGCGCTGTAGAATCTCTACCCGTGTCGCCTCCCGCGTAGAAAAGGAACAGTCGAAGACATCTAACGTCTCTCAAGTCATTGTTCCGTTCGGTCGAGTTCTCAATTCTAAAATTCACAACCCAAAACATTTCACTTCCGTTGGACTCCTTCCACTCGCCGCATTGCTCACCTCATTCCGCACATCATGGCGCTCTCGCGCTATCTCCTGCTGCTCGTCGTATTCGCCGTCGCCCTCGCCGCGCATCTCGCCATCGGCGCTTCCGCCCTCCTCGGCGTCGGAGAGCCCACCTCGCAGCGCGCTCCAGACGACGCCAGCAAGGTAAACCGATGCTGAAAAACCAGGAGTTTTTCTTTCCCCGCCATATTTTCGCAGCCCTGGAATCTCGTCCCGTCCGCTCATTTTTCCATTCCCAGAAGTGCTCGTCCATTGCAAACACCCGTTTTCTTACTTCCTTCCCGCCACTCTCTGCAGTCTTCCCTGTCAATGCTGCCAGCGCGCGCTCTTTCCCGCCGCGCGCTCAAGGACGGCGCGACAACGGCGGATTTGGACTCTCCGTTGCAGGTCACTGAAACGGACAGCGAGAGCGATAGTATCGAGGAGAGCGATTCGGAGGATGTCGCGTTTGACGGTGGAGCGGCGAAAATCGGCGGAGACGCCCGCAGAGGCCTCCGGCGGCAGCCGCGGATCAACAACAACATGAAGAAGCACGGGGAAGACCTGGCGAGAAAGGGAGCCGAAAAGGCGGCGAAAAAAGCGCTGGAATATGGGGCGAAGAAAGCTCTGTCGTCCGCTGGCGGGTCTGCAGTGGGCGGAATCTTGTCAATCGTGGGGGCGGGAGACGGGCCTACCATGATGGGTAAGATCGGCGCGGACATTGAAAAAACCGGCAAGGTTGGACGCGTTATCGGAAAGGTGATGCAGAACAAGTACTTCAACGCCGTTGTGAATACCGTGGCCCCCAAGCCACTGATGGCGGGGCTGAATATGGCGGCGGAGCACTACGATGATATCAAGAGGGAAGGGGAGAAAGCCGGAAAGGCTGTCGGGAAAGAGTTGAACAAGGCGGGGAACGCTGTAAAGAATGGGGTGAACAAGGCTGGGAGGGATGTAAAGAATGGGGTGAACAAGGCTGGGAGGGATGTAAAGAATGGGGTGAACAAGGCTGGGAGGGATGTAAAGAATGGGGTGAACAGGGCTGGGAATGATATCAAGAATGGGGTGAACAGGGCTGGGAATGATATCAAGAATGGGGTGAACAAGGCAGGGAACGCAGTAAAGAATGAGGTGAACAAGGCAGGGAACGCAGTAAAGAATGAGGTGAAGAAGGCGGGGAACGCAGTAAAGAATGAGGTGAACAAGGCAGGTAGAGCGGTTGGGGATGCTGCTAAGAAGGCCTGGGGTGGGTTCACTGGCCTTTTCAGGAGAAAGTAGAATGGGGGTCTGACAACCCTTTATGTGGGTGGAATTGCAGCGGAACGGGCTGTACCGCTTCGGAACCATAACAGCTGTGCTGCAATATGTGTGGCGTCCTATGGTGCTGCATGCCTCAGTTTGATCTAGGTTGAATGAGGGTAGGAATGAGGGTACCTTGTGTGTAATGTAGTTGATTCTGCTTGCTGAATAGGGATGGGGAAGGAGGGAATAACTTGGTGCCGTTTTGGTTTTGGTGTTTACTCCTTTGTTTGTGGGGAGGGGAGACGTATAGCTTTGAATAGTCTATCACCACTTTGATATTCAGTGTCATGCTTGCTATTCTTCACAAGGTCTCTTTCTTATTGTCAGAGTAGGATCATGCACCCCTGTTCTTTTACCGTACCAGTAGCCAGATTTTCAACTTAGCGTTGCAGTCCTTGGCCATTAAATTCCACCACACCATGATGTACTGAATCTCAAGCAATCACCCAGGCGGACCTCCCATTCAGTGCTGGTGCGTACCAGTGTGAACACTAATGCCATTATCACCGTAGCAGACATTCCACCCCTGCTAGGTTGTTGTGGCATCCACCAGAAGCCGCCTCATGCAGTACTCACATTATAAAATGTGAGAGGACATACAGATGTTCGAGGGACAGTATATACAGTAATACTTAACGGAAAAAATCTGAGTGTCTATTATTGAAACGTCAACCCGGTGGGCACCTGCCTGGTCTGGCTTGATCTGGGTGGGGCGTGGTCTGACCTCATGTGGGCTCATCTGGTCCGGCCTGGCCCAGTCTGTCAGAAATTGTATTTCTATATATAACTGCATATTAGCTTAGCTAGTGTAGTATCTCTTCCATTGTTGGTGGTATAACCCCCTTGACCACCTTCCCATGCCCTATATCGTGTTTCTCTCTCAAAAGTCAACCCCTTCTTGTTGGCCAACATCTCTCGCTACTCCCCTTCCCAAGTTCCTAAGCTACTCTCTAAGCTATGGTGGTTCCTAAGGCGTGGTACTAAGTTTAACATGGTACAAAGCGGTAAAACGGTCTAAGGACATATTTTTTTCCTAAGTAACATGGGCCCGCCCACTGCAGCGCAAAATGCGCCATTTTACTTCGTCGCCCGTCGCGCTCGTCGCCCTGCGCTCTGCTCGTTCTGCCCGTCGCATCCTCCGCGTCGCCCCGCGCCGTTTCGTCGCCACGCGGCCCGCACGTCGCCCGACGCGGACGCGGACGCCAACGCCAGGCGCCAGCGGGGACGCCTGCAATTGCCGCCAGCGCCTGCGCCAGCGCCAACGCCGGCAGCAGCTCACACCCCCCCCCCCCCCCCCCCCCCCCATTCCTCCCTTTCGCGGATTCCGCCAATGGGGGGGGGGGGAGATGTGGGGGTGGTGGGCATGCACCACCCGGAGCCCGTCCCTCCCTTCCTTCTACCTCTCTCCCTACAGCACTTGTTGCTGTGGGGGAGGGGGGGGAGAGAAAAGAGGATAAGGGGGGATGGGAAAGGTTACAGGGGGACGATAGAGAGAGAGAGAGAGAGAGAGAGAGAGAGAGAGAGAGAGAGAGAGAGAGAGAGAGAGAGAGAGAGAGAGAGAGAGAGAGAGAGAGAGAAGAGAGCAAACCCAAGAGCCGCAAGTGTAGTCCTCAGTGTGTCGTGCCACTCACGGGGCGCCTGGCGGAGACCGTAGACTGGCCGCCGGAGGCTCCACTGGGTACCAGGAGGAAACGACCCAGTGAAGCCAGGTGGGCGGCGCAGCGAGATCTCCTCATGCAGGCTGCCCTGCAGGAAAGCTGTGCTGAAGTCAAGAGAGTGAAGCTCGTAGTCACGCTGAGCGGCAATGTGCAGCAGCACACGAAGAGTGGTCATCTTCGGGGTGGGAGAGAAGGTCTGAAAGTAGTCAACTCCCTGCCGCTGACTGAAGCCTCGAGCCACGTAACGCGCCTTGAAGACAGGCGGAGAACCCGGCGGCCGCTTCACCCTCAAAATCCACATGCCACTGACGATGTTCGCCCCAGGTGGGGGAACCTCGTCGACGTAGGTGCCTATGGACTTCCAGGAAGCCATCTCTACGTCCATGGCTGACTGCCACTATGAGGAGTAGGGACCCTCGATCGCCTCAGCGTACGATCGAGGAGTCGGGATGTCTGGTGTATCCGGGTCTCCCTCAGGGGCAATCAGCGTGGACACGAGACGAGGCAAAGCAACAGCAAAACACTGGAACTCATCCTGCCTATCCTCAAGGACGTCCGTGCTAAGAGCACACTCACCCCCGACGGACGGAGGACAAACAGACTCAGACTCAGCAACAAGACTAGCAGCATAGTCTAGACGACAGCGAGCAGTAAAGTCGAGAAGCTCAACAACTAGGGCACACGCAGCAGTGGACTCAAAGGAAGGGTCGATGACAACACTAGCCAGGAGACGCGTGACAGTAGGACTGGCAGCACGAAGAGAGTCAGACTCCGGGTCAGCAAGAGTAGGAAGAGCGGACTCTGGAGGAGACGGCAAACGGGACACGCAGAGGAGCAGTGGAAGGACGCAGTGCCATCTGGTGTGTGCCCGGGACGGCAGGAGGATGCGGATACGAAGAACAACCACTAGTGCGAGCAGCACGAACAGGCGACGCAGGACGAAACACAGGCACACGACGCTCAGCAAGACCTCCAGTAGGACCAGTGTAGGGAGAAGGAGCAGGAAGGGGGGAGGCGGGCTGTAACTGTGACCGCGACTGGACAGGCTGTGGACACTCTAAGGGAGGAGCAGGACCAGTAGAGGGCGGGAGACCAAGAACCTGCTCAAGGAGCGGAACGAAGTACGGCCTCGGCCGCGCAGCGCCTCCAGAACCAGCAGGGATAGCACCAAAACCCCCAGCGGCAGCACCAGCGCCAGCAGCACCTCCAACTCCAACAGCGCCAACTCCAGCACCCTCAGACGCACCAGCGCCAGCAGAACCAGCAGCGCCAACACCCCCAGTAGCTCCAGCTCCAGCAACTCCAGCGGCACCAACTCCAGCAGGACCGGCAGCTCCACTACCGCCAGCAGCTCCAGCAGTACCTCCAGCAGGACCAACTCCAGCAGCCCCAGCAGCACCCCTAGTCCCAGTAGCTCCAGTACCGCCAGTACGAGCACCTCCGGGACCAGAAACAACAATAGTACCTCCAGCTCCAGCAGCACGGCTCCAGCGGCGGGCAAACCACCCGCGTAGCTCCTGCAGAGAGAGTGGCTCCCGCCTCGATGAAGTACCGCGAGAGGCCACACGAGCAGACCCAGCACCCCCACACTCCGCACCCCCAGGCTCAGCACCCCCAGGCTTAGCACCTCCAGACTCAGCACCCCCAAGCTCAGCACCCCTAGACTCAGCACCCCCAGGCTCAGCACCCCCAGGCTCCGCACCTCTAGCAGCACCAGAGTCAACCGCTACCTCGACAGGCTCGACTCCGTCTACCTGGGACACACCTGACGGGGCAGGACCGTGAGGGGGAAGGGGTCTACCAGGGGAAGACCTAGCGCACGGAAGAGCGGTGGCGGGGGAAGTGGCGCAACGCGGTAGGGGAAGAGACGGTAGTAAGGCACCGACTCATCAAAGGTGACATCCTGGGAGGACAGAACACGGCGCGAGGTGGGGTGGTAAAAGTGCCAACCAGGCGCGTCAGGGGGGAAGCCAAGGAAGACGCAGGGAACAGCACGGGGGGACAGCTTGTCCGCAGACAAGTTGCGGACAAACGCCCGAGATCCCAAGACCCGAAATGCAGACGCATCGCCAACCTTCCCCGTCCACCGCAGGGTGGGGGAGGTCTCTGGCAAGGAGACCCAAGGCTGAAGGTTGAGCTGATGCGCTGCGTACTGAACCACAAACGGCCACAGAAAATGGGGCGCAGCCGCATGGATCAAGGACGTATGAGCGACGTCCATGACCATGCCAATGCGGCGCTCAGCAATCCCATTTTGCTGTGGAGAGGCCGGAAGCGTGCCTGGCGGATGCCCTGTGCTCGAAAGAAGGCCCCCGAACGGGCAGAGGAAAACTCCCCGCCTCTGTCAGAGTGCAGACGCAGAACAGGAAAGTCCGAGCCGAAACTCTCTCTTAGCTGGAGACGAGCTGCGCAGATCCAATCGATCAACACCCGAGTGGCGTCGCCCTTGCTGCGCAAGGGTAAGAATTTGGTGTAACGTGAGAAAACGTCAACCACCAACAGGAAGTAACGCTCGTGCCCCTGGCCACGGACGCGGGCGGGGCCCCACACGTCCATGTGAAGAGTCTGCAACGGAGCCTCTGTCGGAGGAAACTCGGAGGAGTGAGGGGCAGCGCGCTGGCGCCCCTCGACGCAGGGGACCAAGGTAGGGGCAGGCCCCGGAGGTAGGGGAGGGAGAGACCGGTGAAGACCAGAGACAAGGACACGGGAGGCCATGCCTCGGAGACAAGGCAGGGAGGGGTGACCAAGGAGGTGGTGCCAAAGGAGGGTCTGGTGGGACATGAGACGACACGAGCAGGGAGCAGACTCAAGAATAGACCTGGACGCTGCAGCAAACACCTGACTCGATGCAGCTACCTGACTAGACTCAGGAGCCGGAGGAGACTCAGTAGTAAGGGTGTACAGGTTCGACCCCGGCCGACGGGTAAACTTGGCCAAGTGTCGGCCTGTCCGAGCACACGTGCTGTGGGTCACTTGCTGACTCGTAGGAGTGAACTGGTCAACCCCCCTATACTGTAGGTCAGCTCCACTCACCAAGTTCGTGGAGAACGAGGGGAGGTAGAGACATGACAGGGTGTTAGAGGGGGCTGCCGGGCACAGTATGATAATGGAGAAGCTAGCAAGGACAGGACCCCCACAGGGGTCCGCCAGGGAGACCGCACCCGGCCGACTAAGCGGCGTAAGTGTGGTGTGGTCTCGAAAGAAGGAGCGGGACGCACCCGAGTCAAGGGTGAAGGTGTGTAAGGCCTGAGCCGACGTGGTACCTCAGAGGGTAGACTCACCAGCACCTGGGGCAGTAGACGCACTAGCACCTAGAGC